CGGAGACGCTCCATAAGAAAATAAAACGCGATGACCTAATATGTGAAAGATCCCTAATAAATTCATCACTCTATCCCATATTCTTATCCACAAAGATTCAAACTTCATGTTTTTCATGTAATTTACATGTTATATTTTTAAATTTTCCCTTGACAGCAGTGTTGCTGAATAACCTTTTACAGGATGTTACTGATTACGAGACTTTATGTTGCGAAGACGAATGTCTTGCTAAGAAGCTACAATAGAAAATCTTAAAAAGCTGCGTTGTCTAACGGGATAAGTCATTATTTTCGACTAAAGAAAAGGAAGCGACAGCGATAAGAAGCAGATAGTGATCTTTACATATCTTCAAACATCTACCAAGACCCATAAGAACCCACTGGAGTCTACCAGAAGCCAGTAGAATCCATCAGAATCTAGTAGAATCCAGCAAAAGCTAGTAGAATCCACCAGGCTCCATGAGGAGCCGCCAGAATCCAAGGAGCCAGGAGCCGCTTTTTCCCCTTTGGATATTCTACTACCAATTATGTTACAACTCATTAATGGTTCAATAGAGGCATTATTTCTATTTTAGATAGACACTTCCTCAACATAGACATATTATTTATACGTTATCTAAGTAGGGCGTAGTTTCTTCACTGGATTTAATGTAATAAATATGAACTGACACTATGTAGTAATATATCAATAACGTCTAGAGGTTTATATGTATCACTTATTATATGCACTCTAAGTGATACTGAAGATCACAGAGAAACATTTTTTCTATTTCTTTCGGAAGAAAGAAATCGTTGAATTTTAAGATTATAAGAATATGATCTAATCAATCAAAAAATATATGAATGTGAAAAGTATCACGTTGAGAACGTCTAAAACTGTGTTCCGTTCTATTCCGATTCCGGCTATATTCATCGACAGTATTGTATTGTATTTGATATTCCTAATTGTAATTCCAATATGCATTAAAGAAAAAACTGTTTATGGATGCTGTCCACGCAGAATTTGTTCCTATTAAAAGAACCCCATCGAGGCAGATGGAAGAAAAACAGAAATCAAAGAAAAAAATCAAGAGGGCGATTCCGTTTCCACCACCCATTGTTTATTACAAAATCAATTCTTATCTTGCTTTTTTATACTTGAATCCAGGATAATCTATGTTAGATCATTGTGATAATGTCCAGAAATTTGTTGAAAACTTTCGAAGGACTAATATTCATTTCAGTAATGGCCAACTATTGTAAATTCTACTATGCAACAAATAAGCACGCATGCCATTGTAAATTGGTACTCTCGAGAAAATATTTCGTGCCGTAATAAAAGAAAATCGATCATTCGGTAAAATAGTATTTTAATATCTGTTTTTTTTAGCTATTGAGTTTAATTTTAGTTAAAATTCAATTTTACATCACTGATTTGCGAAGAAAATATGTTTGTATAATAGAAGAGTTTTTAAGTATCTTATATTTTCAATATAAGCATTACCAAAAAGCTATTACAAGCTTTAAGACAAATTTCAAAATAGTAATACGGGTTTTCATTATGGAAAGTTATATCTGTTTTATTCTTTGTTGCTTCAAGAAATTTTATTCCATTGTAACTACAAATGATCATTGTTGAGACATTTATTTACGATTAGTAATTAATTAACAAAATGACTGTTGACAAGATTACCAACGAAATTGACTTGTTGTATTGATTCTTTTTATCGACAACGATAATAAATGAATCAATATGATCTTTGCTTAGAAAAAACAAAAATTCAAATTTATTTCAATAAATTTCTATTGCAAAATATTATATTGAATATCTTTTTCATTGATAAAATATTTTCGGATGTTCAACAATCATTTTTTCAAACATGGAAATTTTAGTTTTTCTATCACACCTGATCTAAATTCGGAATCATTGTAATAGTTTTGAATATATTTCCACAATCATTTTATATCGAGATTGTTGAATTTTTAATAAATAACAATGCCAACTTATTATCATGTTACTGTATGAAACTATCAAAAATTGAAACAACGATTTCTTTTATATGTAAATGACTCTTTATTATTTTTAACATTAAAAGTCTTCTGTCATGTGAAATACTAAGAAAAACTCAAAATTCATGTGTATTACTATTTGATTAGGCGCTTCGCTATTTTTGAAAGAATGTGTAAACGACCTTCGATTGTATTGCTATATAATCGATCAATAAACGCTCTTAAAACGTCAGTTATCCGATATATTGTATAATAACATGTTTAAATATCATTTATTCACCTTACGATATATTGAACCATTCAACGATACGCCTAATCTCATCTATCTAACATGAATCCACACGAGAATATTTCTTACAATCAGAGAAAAATATTTCCAAAGGATAAAAATAAAGTTTCGATTTTTTTCACAGGAAAAAAATATGAACATAATAGAAATATCTATATAGTCACAGGATAGTTTTAAGTAGACATGATATTATCCATCGGTTGACCAAAATTGGAGGAATCATATTTTGGTGGTGGCAGTGATATCTGTCTTTTATCATCATCATCTTGACTTGCTTGCATACGAGTTGCGTTAGCAAAACTTGTTTGCATTGGAACATAAATTCTATGGCCTATTGGACGAATAAATGATAGGCCGTTTCCTAATGAATCATCTCCCATCATGCCACCAGTGGTTAATGTTGCCATGCAAGGATTTTGAAGTTGAAGTTCATGTTCTCTAAAATAATATCAAAAGCGTTTTTTCCTGTAAAACTCAATATAAACTGAATCAAACCTTGAAACTCGTTTTGATAATCGATAAGTAAGAAACGTGCGAATAGCAAATAAAACAAGGAAACCAATAATTAAAATAACTATAATCAATGATATAATCAATACGAACAACCCAATACCACTAACTAAATGAATATGTTTTCCGAAAAATAAATGCATTCATTTTATCATAGATCTTAACTTACTATTTTGACATCGTTTTCCTGCATGAAAAAAATCACAATCACATTTATAATCTCCTGATAAATTAATGCATGTGAATGATCCACATATTCGATCATTAGCTGCACATTCATTTATATCTAACTCACACATAAGACCTCCATAACCCGATAAACATACACATTTACTCGTGACATTTGAACAATAACCTTGAAGCAAAAAAAAATAGACTCTTTCTTGCTTGCTACTTAGCGAAGTAGTCAACAATAACAACAAGAAAAAAGGAATATGAATGACTGACCTCCATTTAGACATTCATAACGGCTGTCGCAAACGCCATTCTGTGGTATTTCTATAAAAGATAACATGTATACATAAATATAATTATTTGAATGTGACTGTTCAACGGGTGCTAAAATTGTGTTTTATGCTCTTTTGACGGTAGCATATAAGGTAGTATTACGTAAGAGTAAAAAGAATTTCTTTTACCTTGAAGCACACAACGTCCGGTCGATGGAGAACGAGCAAAACCAGGAAGACACACGCAGCTGACACCCGTCTCATTCGACAAACGTATGCATACCGTACCAGTGCCACACTGTGCACAATTTGGATCATCTGCTTGACCGATTACTATTAATAAAAACAGCGAGTTTAGTTCAAATAAAAAAATGCTATAAAAATATTCGTGATTATCTAGAATTTACTTTTTTATTTGAGTTAACTTGAGTGATTTCTTTTTTTTTCTTAATATTAATAGACATTTTAGCGATTCAATACTTGTACAAACTTATATGATTGACATCGGATATCGTCATCGATTTGTTTCAAACAAAGATATGCAATATGTGTTGCATAAAAATTCTGTCTCTCGTTAGTCTTCAATTCTAAAGTGTTCATCGATAAATCTTGCATCTGTTTTCATATTCTGCCTTTTCTTGTTCAAACATACAACGAGTGACTACTCTATGCATTAGTTTGCTGTTACTAGTGTCAATTGAACTGAGAGATGAATACTTCCATAAATTTAGTCCATATCTTGAACAGAATGAATCTGACACTTGTTTTACAATATTAGACAAACATAGAGCTTTTTATTTAAAGGTCATCACTTTGAATTGAAATTTGATAGATGACAACTGCTGAACACACATAAATATATATATATATATATATATGTATATGAATATGTAGACAGCGGAACCAATTTATCTTGTTTTTCTTTACATACCTGTAATTTGATTTTGTCCATAGACAATCCCAATAGTATTGAGAAATAGCAATAGCATTACAACGATCGTTGACATAGCTTAAAGATTAGCTACCAATACGCATATAAACATCGAGTATAAGAATGATTATTATAAAATGAGCTCGTGTGAAAAAAATACTCTTCTCTTTTCTATTCTTATTCTCTTGCGCAATGGTACTAAAGAGAAAACTTTTCTCACTTCTTTTCTCTCTTTCTCTCACTGACCAAAGAAATGCAGTAAGAAAAAAAAGGGAACTAGTACATCTAGCTGCTCTCATTCTTTTTTCTGCTTCTCATTGCATCCTTGAAAGATATAGGCAATATATATACTTATGCCTACTCATTGCTTTATTGATGTTTCATTGATATATTTTGATGAGAAAATGATCATTTTCTTTCAATTTTTATGATACTAATATCTGGTTTACATACTTTTTTCATGACAACCAACCAGATATAAATAAAAAACAACAACAAAAGATATGAGAAAAAATTTCATGAGGTGAAAAACATAAAGACTCAATACAGATTAACGAGTATATTTAAGTGAATGTGTATTAAGCACGAATACAATGCTCTAAGAAAGCACAAAAGATTAGTTTAAACAAAAGAAGAAAACAAAATGAAAATCAGGGATCACACAGAATATGAAAAATGATAATCAAATAGTTCATGTTCTTGGTTGTATTTGATAATCGAAGAGAAAAGAAAAGTGAATATGTTTTTTTTTATCTAAATACAATAAATTTAAAAACAAAAAATAAAAAAATAAAAAATAAAACTATTTTCACCTTAAGTATTTATTTTATCGGCTATTATGTGATCGAGTTCTTGAGTGTGATCTTCGTTCTTCTGATTGAGATGAACTATTTGATCGAGAACGTGAACCCGACCGTGAATGAGAACCACTGTTGCCATGACCTCGACCACTGCCAGATCGACTACTTACAGAACGACTACGACTTCTATAAGAGAAAAATAGATTCTTATTAAATGAAACTAGTAAGAATCATAAACTTCTTTACCGTCCTTTACGTCGAGATGAAGATTCATTTTCTTTTCGTCTAGGACTTCGACTTCTTGATGTTGACCTAGAATAATAATAGAACAGTATTGGTGTTATTATCATAAGATTTCAAAAAAAAGAAACTTGAAAAAAAGCAGCAATAACCTATTTTTGTTTATTTATTTGATAAATTGAAGAAATTTATTACCGTAAAAAATTCTGTCTACGATTTTGTTGATCGTATACACACCTTTCGAATTGACGTGAAAGAAATAGAATAAATAAATCGAGAATCGTCTGAATTTGATCCGATTGTTTCATTATCTGATTTATTCTGACTCCCAATCGAACAGAAGAACAATATATAAAATACGACGATGAGCATCTATCGAATTTTTTTGATCGTTTCCATCAATGTTTTTCTTCTCGATCTAGTAGTATCAATGCATCGTACACATCAATCGCTCGCTCGTTTCAGTGTCTCTCTTCATCAACGTGAATGTGAACTAAAAACAGACACTTTCTTCTTGTTTTCTATGTTTACAATTCATTAGAAACAAAAATATTATAATAGAAAAAAGACATCAATCATGACTTCAATAAAACATAGAGACATGCAAATATATTACACTTCGAATTTTATCTTACTTCATACGACGTTGTCGTCTTAATCGGATTTCACAATCGTACGCATAATGACCACGATCTAAAATTTTAAAAAAATCACAATTCTATAGGACGCAAGAAACATTCATTCTTAGAAGTTTTTCTGTTTATTATTTAATTTAGCAGACGTTATTTTCAATTAGAAAGAGCGATTGCTGAATTTACAGATACGTATTGTATGTTTAGGTATTCGGAAGATGAATTTCATCTTTCTACAATCTCCAATGAATAATAAATTAAGTTTTAGAAATGTATTTTTTTAAATATCGGCAAAAATCATTCAAGCAGTTACCGCTTTAATTAGACTTTCATCCTCATTTATTTAATTATCCCTTTCTGATTATTGTTCATACATGGAAAAGAATTTAAGATTTGTTTCTGAAATTTATTTAATATTTTACACCTTTAAGTTTTCGTTCTTCGATTATACTTAACAAAAATGACAACGAAATGATAATATTATTCAACAAGGATTCCAACTGATAATCATAGTGCGAGCTTATAACAATGATAGGATATGACTAACAAAATTCTACAAGAATCTGTTCTAATGATTTGAATTATGATTCGTCTGACTGAATTTATAGCTATGCTTTACATATGCATCGAAAAATTAAAATATAGTTCTGAAATAAAATTTTGTTCATATATATAGCTAACTATTCAATAATTATCTTAAAAGGTTTATATGAAATTTTTTCAAAAATTGAGATATTCATTTTCAAATGTACTCGCACTTTTCTATCATGTAACCATACGATGCAGAAGTCTTCGTAAAAATTTCAGGTCTTATTAGATTATATTAACTTCTAAAACAATCAAATTTTTTTTTTATTAGAAAGAGCAATATTTGAACTACAAATATACAGCAGACATATTTTTCAAGACTGAGTCTGAGAAGAAAGAAAAGTCAAAAGCATAACGCCTGACAAACTGTTTTTGTAATTTTGAAATTTTTCCGAATTACATAACTTAAAATTAAAAAAAAGTACAGGAAAATGTAGCAGATCAAGAAACCAATTAAAATTCGGTTTAAAAAATTATTTTGAGTGTACTCTTGACTCTTTAATCCAAAAAGTTGGAAATATGAAAATTTTTACAAAATAGAATCGTTTGAAAAAAACGCCATTCAATTTACAGAAAATGGCAGCGATTTTCTTCAGAAATCATGCATGAACATATAGATCTTTGTAGTATCTGGTTGAAATATGTCTAATCATACTATTGTTGTATGATAAAATAATTGGAAAAGTTTTTTTTTATCGAAGAACAGTTAAATAGTGAGAATATTCAGATCGCTCAGTTTCTTCAAGAAAAAGCTATTTTTTGTTAGAAGAACGAAGAATCCATTGAAAGTTCAATGGATCATTACGAGATATATCATTATTCAGGTCAATAGTTTCGGGTTCCGAAAATACTGGGATTTAACTGGAATCTACATGAAAAATCAGTGAATCCGGGAGGCAAGCACCAGAAAATGACTGAAGCTGGGGGCAGTTTTCTGACCGGAAACTTCTCTGTTGCAATCTGACCGTACTTATTCACTTGAATAGAATTGCAAGAATTTTTCTAGCGATGATCAAGTTTGGAATTTTCAGATTCAGTCTTGAAAAGTAGATCTGCTAAAACTTTTTTGTAGCTCAGACATTCCTCTTTCTAACAAAAATTTACTTGGTTTTTATTGTCAGTAATTCATTCTAATAGGGTTTGATATTTTACTTCACATGTTATCTAGAAAATAATTATTGCTTAGAAACTTTATGTCCCAAAAGAAAAGTATGATATTTGACTAAAACTTTGAAGACTTTCATTCAACCATTACAAGTCTCAATAGAAAACATTTTACTTTGTAATTCTTTATTATATACTGAAAGGTAAGTATAAAATTTATCGGATTAATTTTTTCGCTCAACCTCATGTGGATCAGTACTTTTAGATTTTTACTAATCTAATTAAGATCCATTTGTGGTCTCAAAGAGTTTCAATATCGATTTCGTTTAATTACAAAATAAATATCATTTGAAAGCAAGAAGATCGTAGATATTATTTTAGCTTCTAAATGTATTATTCGATAGAAATGAAAGCTTTTCTACTCTTGAAAATAAGCTTAAGGTTATCAAAAAAAGTAGTGTATCAAAAGCAACAAGATTGAACATATTAAAAACATACCTCCACATTCATAGCAAACATCATGAGGACTATAAGGCTTTCTGGAGCGAGGTGATCGACTACCCGATCGTCGACGGCTCCGTCCTCCTCCTCCACCTCCACCTCCGCCTCCGCCTCGATTCGATCTACCGCGACCATGTGAAAACTCAACACGAACACGCGAGCCACAAATCATTCTAAATAAGATTACAATAATTTTAACTAACATACATTTCAACAATACTTACTTTCCATCCAGAGCTTTAACTGCATCAGCTGCATCACGTTGGTCTTCAAAGTCAATGAAGCCTATTTAAAAAGAAGTAATTATATTTCATGTTTTCATGAAAATCCTACGCTTCTCACCAAATCCCCATGGACTTCTTGAAAGCCTAAAACAAAAGGTTAAATAGACAAGGAAGAAGAATTCAAATACAATTTTACCAAACATTTCTCAATTTTCCATAATAGCTAAACGTTTTTTCAACATCTTCTTTCGTTGCATCACGTGATAAATCTCCCAAGAAAACCTAGTTTATAATAGGTTAGTTTAATGAAATTTTCTTTCAAAAAATTGATTTCATTCTATACCGTAACAGTCTCATCTCGTCCGCTAGACATAATGTAACTTTTTTTTTCTTGTTTTTCGGCTATTTCCCTATAAATGTTATCTACAACAGAGAAATAACGATGCAATGATATGAATCACCACTCTAATTCATTTTTTCTTCTTCCTCATTATTTGTCATCCACCATTATTATGGTGACCTCCAATAGTTACGATAAATAACAAACTATTTTTTTCATGATTTTCTATAAAATTTTTATGAACAGCCATGTAAAAAAATGAATAATTAAAATTAGATGAAATTTTCCTGGCGAGGTCATCAACATGTTGCTACGAGTTACGGAAAAGAAAATGGACAAGAATGCGACATCTGTGAAAACAAGAAAATTGCTATTCATAATTAAAAATACATTAATAAATTACAATGGTAAGTGAGATAAATATACAACAGGATTTTTTCAACTTCAATTTTCATATGAGAAGAAATTCCGCATATTAATAAGTCAGTTTTAGATCGGTCTAAATTTAAGTCCATGAAATTTATACATAAAGTTGCGATATCTCACATTTATATTTACAAAAGTTAGAAGAGTTAAGACTTTTTCAAGTAAATAATACACTATATTGAGACATTATACGATACGATACGACTAATCGTATTCAATTTCAAATTTCAAAATTCAAAATATAGAAGATGTGAGTGAAGAAATACGCTTTAAGTGAAATTATAAAAGTTTATTTATTATGAGTAGATTTTGAAAATTCTCGAAATAGAAACAATTTTAATAGCATACTTTTTAACATTATTAATAAGATTATGTAAATAACTCTTGACTGTCTTATTATCTTCTATTTAAAGAATAACAACTTCAGTGTAACTGAAAGATGCTACAATCATTTCATAACACCAAGGTTCCGATGGACTACTAGTATGTAATTATCTAGATGCTTTTATGCTCGACATACTACACCAGACACAAATGAAAGAATGAATTGAATTGAATTGAATTACAATTAAGACAAAGATTTTATATCATTTGATTTTCATGTGGTGTTTTCTTAGTTAGCTTTTCGAATTAAGACAATAAAAACGCACCAATGATTTTATTTTATGGAGAGAAAATTGACAACTAGACTTTGCATCTATTTTCAAAATGAACAACATCTGATAGAAATAATCTTTGTATAATCAATCGTAGAATCTTCTTCATTATTTCGTCTCATAGATTTTAGGTTCATGAAATAGATGTGCACTTGATAATATAAAAATAAAATCCAAAAAACTGATTACGCTTCATCCGATCCTTGTTCTACTCGTAGTTGAAATCCCACTATAAGCTGATGAACTTGAATTCGTACTTCTCAGATCAATTACATCAAGACGGTTCCCGTCGTTTTTAAACAATATAAGCTAGTTCCTTCTGTTGCAAGTATTAGAAACTCTAGTAGCTGAATTTCGACTCCGGAATTCGACTGTATCCATGCGAAATTTCATAGAATATATTCAAATCTTGTCAGATTCTAATGCAGTCTGCCTGTAAGGTTCTATTTTTATTGGTTAATATTTTTAAGTTTATAATTGCCTCTGAAGTTCTACATAGCTCATAGAATTTTAGGCAACTTTTGAGCATTCGGATTCATTTGTTAAGTGTGTGTTTATATATATTTTTAATACTTATTTCTGTTACCGTTGCTGTTCATTCGAACATTTGTCAAGATGAAAAATGGTTTTAGACATTTATCGAAGTGTCGACTGCCATTCATTATTCTACAAGTCAGTCTATTTTTTATTGAAATTTAAACAGAGATCACTGTTAGAATCATGGTTCTCAATATATGAGCAATAAATTGTGCTAGTTCCCTCTTTTTTGTAGCGTGTTTACAAAATATTCCCTTTCACTTAGATTTCTGGGGAATTCGTCACAAGTGCCGTTGTGCATAATTTAAACTCTCTGTGAAGATTTACCAAAAATGATGGTAAAAAAATGTATCATCTTACTGCTTTTTTCCTGTATGTTTCTATGATATGAATCATAATTTTTAAAGTTTCAGATAATAGATTTGCGCAGTAACGAAAATTTGTCAGTTATTGTCTGATAAAATGCGTTGAATCCTGAATTGATTTTCTAGTCCTGATATGTGAATATTTCAAAACTTCTTCCAGAAAAGCAGAATCAGTAAACACACGATTTTTGACTAGTGCAGCGTGTTAGACATATGAAAACTCGATTCAATTTTGATATCATTATCAAAACATTTTTCACTAGAATTTCGAGTTGAATTGATTTGATCATGATGTTCACAAGAACAACTTCTCAAAATTCTATAAAACATCATTGACGCCTATATCACATGTATTTACATTTTAATATAACGGACAAAGTAGCATATGTTCGTTCACTCTAAAATTTTTAGGTTAGATCTAAATCTAATCGACTGGTATATCAACGCGGCGATAAGCTCTTGTAATCAGTCATAGATGAACCTGTTCTGACAGGGAAAGAGAGCACTAAATACTACGATTCTTACTTGAAAATTCTCTGTGGATGACTTCTATGTCAAGTTTCTAAATGTTCCATCAGAAATATTCGCTTGCTTGAAATTCAAACGATGATGGTGTACTGATGAAATGTTTCTAATAGAGCATACATGATTACTGGGTATACCTCATGAATGAAAAAGAAACGACATTGCATAAGTCAATCGACATGTTATTATCTATCATTTTATTTTCATTTTGAAAAAATTCGTTGTATCTGTAATTGGAAAAATATAAATTGCACTCTTTTTCTTAACTGCTAAGTAATTTTATGACGTATTTCAATACATCGACTGAAATTGAAGTTGCTTCCTATCATCTGGTGAAGTATTCATCGAATAGTTTTTAATATGAAATTAAAGTTGATTTTATGTGCCATGAACACTTGGAAAGCACTTTCGTGGATCCAAATTTTTGAATTCATACACAGCTGCAAGTAACGTTAAAATTAATATGGAAATTTTTCTCTGCTATTCGAAAACATTTAATGAAGCATTTAGAAAGCAATAGCTCGCTTTAATAGGAAAAATAAGTTTATCTGTTAATTTCTTCAAAACCTTAGATTATTTTTGTTGGATGAATGAACTAACGAGATAACCACTAGAATGGAAATAATTGAAATAAATAAATGGTTGCTAAATAATTAGAAGATTTATCAACTATTATTTTTTTCTTCACTAAGCAGTGACTCAAATAATAGAAAGAACGGATCTTATAGATTACACAATACTACTCATTAATTCAATCATGACATCAAACATGCTGTTGTCGCAAATTTTAGTCAAAAAAAGAATCACAGATATATTTCCAAGCAACTATGTTTAATACTAATTGACATTAAGCATTCGAATTCTTAATAATGACTGTTAATTGTCATTTTAATTTTAATTCATTACATTCACTTGATTTATCTACGTTACCAAAAATCATAATAAATAAATTCAATAGTGTTCATATTTTTATTAAATAAAAACATATAATAAAAAAAAAATGTAAAAATTAGTTTGCGAACAGTTTTTTCATTATAAGTGAATAAGAATTCTTCTTAGAACGTTATATTTTCAGAAAAAAATTTTAAAAGTTAGTTTTAATTTTCTTTTCTTTCATCAAATTCTAACTATTTAAAGAAAACGAAATGAAATGTGAAAGCCGATAATTAGGCCAAACATGAACATAAGTTAGAGTACAACACTTTTAAACTGATTTATTTTATGTCAGTTAATTCTAATTTTCAATATTTTACTAACACTATGTTAATTAATTATCTTTTTTTCTGATGCTTTTAGCCTCCAAAAGAAGTGAAAAAGGTAATTCTTGTTACTGTCACTTAGCATTCGTATAATTTTTATGTAGAAAAGTGCACGTGATCGGGCAGCATTACTTGAACAAATCAATATACCAGAATTAACAGAAACTTTGTTTGATTTATCTTACCGTGGAAATATTTCGAATTTAGCAGAAATTTTAATAGCACCTACAAAGAATGTAGAAAATGTTCGTTTTGAAGCTATTCAACAAAATAATTTATTACAAGTAAGGAATGATCAAACAAGAACATGTCTCGATCTTGCTGCTATGCTTGGTCATCATGAAACTGTCAAATTATTAGCAGAAAAAAATGCTACAATGATGACTAATGGTATTAACCTAGCCAATGGGATGGGTAAATTAAAGAGAAAAAAAAACATTTCTTTTCAGAAAGAGTTATTGACAGCTATTTTGAATATTCGATAGGATACTCAAGTTTGCATCTTGCATGCGCATGGAATCAACTGGAATCTATTAAGCATATCATAGCCGTTGGAGGTGATATTGAACAAAAGACAATACATGGAGAAAAACCAATTGATATTGCTAGACGATATCATCATAATGATTTAGTTGATTATCTCGAGTGGATTGGTAAAGTATTTTTAATCTAATTTTCTCTTTTCTATCATGATATTCTCTTGCTTCGAACTTTGTTCATAAGAATCAATTAATTCAATGTTTTGGTTGTTTCTGTTTCTTTCGATTCTTTAGCTATACGCAATAAATTTACACGTATTATCAATGATGCAAAAGATTTTATCGTTGACCCAGCAAAAAACATGAATAAATTAAATAAAGACGACAAAGTAATTATCATAGTTAAACCAGCGAAACAAGAGAAAGAAGTAAGTGTGTTTCTTATTTTTATAGAAAAAGATGGAAAAATATGTCACTGATGCATTGAAATGGTCTGAAGAAAATCAGAATATGTCAAATGCACGTGAATTATTTACAAATAAAATTAAAGAAGCTGAAGACTTTCTTGCTCCTTTCTATGCAAATGCTACATGTAAGCACAATAAATAAACATGCTTGTATTTATATAAATGATTTTTTTTAATATCTTTTTCTATGTTTACAGCGGAAACAGACTTGAATAATACCAACATAAGTAATGCAAGTCGACCTCAATTAGGAACGCCCAAAAGTGGAAGAAAATAGAATATTCATAGCTTATCATCGAGAATTATGAGAACGATGTGTGCTGTTTTTTTTTGTCAGACAAACATTCTTCTTTATATATTTTTACATTTGTTAATCAATAAATATAATAACACTTGTCTGTCGTCATCGTCATCATGTTAACTTGTTGTTGCTTTCGAATGCAAATAATAGAAACAGTTCTAAAACAAAAGAAATAGAATTCACTTATTACTCTACTAAAAGATAATAAAGCTAGATTTACTCTATTTTAAATGAAAAACAAGTTTCTTTCGATGATTAAATGATACTAAGAAAAATAATTCCAACTGAATTTAGTCAACAGATTATTACGGTACAAACAATCAATAGTGAGAAGAAAACGAAACAGGCGGCATGATATTTTCCAATTAAGTATGAATACATCTACATAGGAAACATCATTTGTTCCTATTCAATGTGTCAAATTGACAGGACAGAGGCCTGTTAGATACCCTATCGGCCCATTCCGACTTTTTCAACTGAACCAAATCAAATTACATATGAAATGAAAGTCGCCGTCGAGACAAGCATTTTGATACTAAATCCATTACGAAAAAAATGAATTTAAAAAAGTTATGAACACTAACAAAAGTTGACTATTTGGCTGTTACTCTTGAAAAGAGTCTCCCATTTTCGACACAAATATATTACAATTGAACTGATCTTATAT